CCCTGAGATCAACCTCTGATCTGTACCTGAACATGTGTTTACACACTTACACTAACATGTACACACACCACAAGCTTACAGATACAATTTTAAAAAGATGATCCTGGGTTCTTTCTTGAAAACGTGTTAGCATTAGCACTGTCTACCCAACAAGGGAAAGGTGAGTTATGAGGGCAGAAGCAACACTTTTAAAGACACGTCTTGTAATTAAAGAGTTTCTAGTGGCGCATGCCTTTAATCCCAGCACTAGGGAAGACAGAGGCAGGCAGATCTCTGTGAGTTCAAGGCCAGCCTGGCCTACAAGAGCTAGTTCCTACAAGAGCTAGTTCCGGGATGGGCACCAAAGCTACAGGGAAAGCATGTCTCGGAAAAAAAAAAAAAGAGTTTCTATTTACTTGTTTATTTGTAGACAGGCTCGGGCTCACCTCTGGGAGTTCAAGGCCAGCCAGGAGGAGGAATGGGATCCTGCCTCAAAATAAGCAAACAAATAAATAAATAACTGGTGAAGAGTGATTGAGGAAGACACTCACTGCTGACCTGTCTCCGTAGCCTGTGAGCACATACACGTGCTATGTGTACACATAAGATGAGTGCACTAGATTTTCTTTGTTAAAAAAAACTTTTTATAAAAACAGCATATATTTTTTGTAGAGAAAATAGAAACCGAGGAAAATATTAAAAAAGAAAATTAAAAATACTTGCAATTCTACTTTGTAAATATAATCACTATTTAGGAGTATTTCCCACTTTTATTTCTAATTATTTTACAAATACAATGTCTCTCAAAATTTAATAGTGTACACATTTTCATTTTGTATCCACATTTTTTTTTGTATTGTTAGGGACTGAACCATGTATTTGTTTTTTTTTCCCATCTGATACTGCCAAGTATCTTTCATGCCACGAAATGTCTCAGGGCCAACAAGATGGCTCAGAAGGTAAGCCAAGCCTGGTGAACTGAATTTAATCCCTAGAGTCTACACGGTGGAAGGAAGGAAGTGACTCCCATCAATTGTGCTCTGACCTCCACACATGCACATATGCATAGAAATAAATATAAAATAAACAAAAGGCTTCATAGCTGCATACCTATAACTTCAGCCCCGAGGAGGCTGAGGTAGGGGAGTTTGGAGGTTCTAAATATATAAGTATATAAATATATAATATGCATTGTTATATATATTATGTATTCTTTTTTGTTGTTGTTGTTTTTTGAGACAGGATTTCTCTGTAACTTTGGAGCCTATCCTGGAACTAGCTCTTGTAGACCAGGCTGGCCTCAAACTCACAGAGATCCGCCTGCCTCTGCCTTCTGAGTGCTGGGATTAAAGGCGTGGCATGTGCCACCTTCTGCCTGGCTTATATTATGTATTTCTATATAAGTTATTACATATATATTATATTGCATATTATATCTACATATTTACTAAGTGTATAATATGTAATATATAAATATATAATGAAGCCTTGCCTAAAAGCAAGACCCCCCAACTATACAGGCAATTGCCACTACTACTGATTGTTCATCAGAAGTAGATGGTGAGGCCCATTGCTGAAGCCAGCTAAATGCATTTAATGCAGCTATCCAGCTAGAGCTGGGCTAGCAGCCACCCGCTCCAGCCTAGCTCTCATAGTGCTGGAAGGTGTTATGCAGGTTTCGGAGGGAGAACAGCAATCGATAGCCTTTCTTCAGCATCGGACACTGCTACCAAACTAACTGGACAGGCGAGCTGAGGCCTCTGCTGCAACAGTGGGAATTCTGTTCCCAGAGTAACCACTAGCTTCCTCCTGGTATTCGATATCTTCTCCACAGGAGGAAATCCACATTGTAAATCTACTCAAAAGCCTGTGGCTGAGGAGGTCCGAGCCCTTATGGAGAGAATTACTGTTGTTTTTCTAGATTGACAGGATGCGACTATCAAGTTTACTCCTAAATAACTAGGTTTATGCACATAGATATGCTGCTGTCGGCTTTGGTAGGAGAAGCTTCTGTTTCAGTGGCCAGCAGTTATTGCAGATTCATAACTTACCAAAGCAGTGAGAGTAGATATTGACTGTTGAATGCCGGGCCGTTATGGGACACCCATATTGCTCTCTAAAGGGGGACAAGGAACACTGGCGAAGTGCCTCAGTCCAGCCACAGCCAGAACTAAAAGGTGATTGGCATAGGCACATATTTTCAGGAACAACAATCTCATTCAAAACATATTTACAGAAATAGGGACGACCTGCTTCTGATCCTGTCTGCACTGAGTCAGAACAGCTCCTGGGGTTTGGAGTGACAGCTGCATCCCCAGACAAGAAACCTGAGAAGCATCATTTCCCGAAGAATTTGGAGGGAAAATATTCGAGAAAAAAAATAAGGGTTTCCAGCAATGATCACATCTGCCCCACGCATGATTGACAAGATGACACTAAAAATAGCCAAGAGAATCATCAACGTAACGAGAGGTAAGAGAGCATGCAGGCCGAGAGGCCCCAGCAGTATCCTGCACTACCCCGAAGTCCACTGGTCCTTGCCGAGACCTGTTTGACAAGCTCTCATATGCTGGTTTGAAACTGGGCCGCACAGCTCCCAGCAGAGAAGGGGAGGAAAGACTCTAAGAGCTGGTAAGTGGGAGAGGTTTGGAACGCTGATCAGCCTATGGTAGGCTGTCGCCCTCTTGAACTCCTAGCAGCTCTGTGAGTTACTTGGTTACCTGCTGAAAATTTGCTCAGGATTGGACCCATCAGCACACAGCTGCAGTGGAACAAGTAGTTTGTGGGGTCCCGAGCCTCCCTGAGAATTCATATACAGTTTATGGCTGATGAGGGAAGGAGAGACATGGAGAGATATTTTCTTCAGCAGCATGGTCTCTGGTACGCTGCCCAAGGCTCCTTAAGCAAACTCTTACCCAGACTGTAAATAACCCTAATGAAATGCATTGGGTCATGTGGAAGATAAGTGATATGGTTCATGTTTCAGGTGTTCTTGGAGGTCATCGGAGTCACAAGTATGCGAGGTGCTATGTCCCCCTCTCTCCTAGCGGGAGGTTGGCACATGCTGGCCTTGGAGCACTAAGGTGTGGAAAGTACCAGGCAGTCTGCCGAACCAGCAGGATGGAGAATTTGGAAAGGGCAAGAAGAGCATCTTTCTGGAGAACCAGCCTACAGATAAAGAGAGCAGGAATTTCTTGCCATAGAGAATCTCACCAAACATGATGCTATTTTGTGCCAAGTCGGCACTCCAGCCATTTTTGCCTTTCTTCTGTGGTGGCATCCTATTCTGTAGCATCATATAGTAAAGACGGTTTTGCTGGGCCTGGAGAGATGGCTCAGCGATTAAGAGCACCTGCAGGTTCAGTTCCCAGCACCCACGTAGTGGTTGATGATGGCTTGTTAAATCCAACTCCAAAGGGACCTGACATCCTCTTCCGGCCTCTGAGAGCACTGCATGTACACTGTACTTAGACGCATGCTGGAAAAACACTCATGCACGTAAATTAAAAATAAATCATAAGAAGTTGTTTTTGTCTCTAGGGAAAAAGATGTTTCTTCTCATTTTTTTTCCCACCGAGTGAGGGTCGGCTTCCTTATGATCACACACATTGAAAAGACATGAAAATTCGAGTGGGGCAGTGGGCAGAGGAATGGGGGAGTGGGAGGCAAGACAGGGATCCAGGAAAGGTGAAGCGAGAGTAGTCCATTATGTGTGTGTCTGAAACGTCATGATGCAATGCATTATCATACAGAACAAATATAATACTAATAAAACATTCTGGAAAGTGTTCACAGCAATCACTTCACAGCTGTGTGGCTGTCCTAGTTAGGTTTTTATTGATGAACACCATGACCAAAAGCGACTTGCAGAGGAAAAGGTTTATTTCTGCTTTAAGAAGGGAAGTTAAGGCTTGAACCTGGGGGCAGGGACTGAAACAGAGACAGAGAGGAATGATGCTTCTGGCTTGTTCCCCATGGTTTGCACGTACGGTATCAGGTTCATGTATCCAGGGGTGGTACCTACTACCCACAGTGAACTAGGTCCTCTTACTCCAGTCTCTGCTCTGTTCCTCTCCTGGTCATGTTCAGTCCTTCTCTTTCTTTTTCAGACTTTCTCTGTCTTCTCTGGACTCTTCCAGATGCCTCTGACTGTTCTCTCATATCTACAAAAAAAGCCTTGCCCTTAACCATGGCATGGAACAGTCATGTTGTCAGTTTATACAGTTAGAAATCATGCTTTAATAAATATTGAAATATAGATTTTTTCTTTTTCTTTTCTTTTTTTTTTTTGGTTTTTCAAGACAGAGTTTCTCTGTATATCTTGGAGCCTGTCCCGGAACTCGCTCTGTAGACCAGGCTGGTCTTGAACTCACAGAGATCTGCCTGCTTCTGCCTCTTGAGTGTCGGGATTGAAGGCATGCACCACCACCACCCAACTCATGTTTTAATATTTACAAAGAATTTCCCCTCGTTTCTGACACATTTTTAAAAAAGAGAGGTCTAAAAGCAGAACTTTTTGTAGTGGTATTTTAATTAATAAATAAATCTTGCCTGAAGATCTGAGAGTAAAACAGCCCCACCGGTCAACCTTACAGACCAGCCGTAGCCCTTGCCATCCACTTGCACGGTAATTTAGAGGAAAAGGATGTACCATACGCCTGCACATCTCTAAAGCACAGTACATTTTTGATTATTATTTTGCAAAACACAGGAAGAATCCAAATTAGAAAGTGAGATGACATCACAGCCAAGGCTTCAGCGCTGGCATTAAGCTGGCCTTGCCCATCTGCTTTGATGTTTAAGTTACTAGTTTAAAGAGAGGAGATAAAAGACCTTTTCAAAACAAAACTCTAGGTACTGCTGTTTTACAGCGAGCACACGGTAAAGAACACCCTCCTTAACTTTCTTGCCCTTCTCCTTGTGTGCGAACACAGGAAACCGAGAGATTATAGCGGCAGGCATGAGCTCACGCTAGCATGACGTCACGAGCACTTGACGTCAGAAGGCGGTTGCCAGGGGGACCGTTCGCCACCGACGGCAGCGTCGTGAAACTCCATCCCCACACGACTGGGTTTGGGCTTCTGCGCGGTTGAAGCTGCAGGAGAAGCTTCAACCTTAAGGGGGCCTCAGGGAAGCGAGGAGTGGCACCGCGGCGGAGCGCTCCATCTCCGCGGCTGTGGGCCCGGGCCGCGGCCTGGGCGGCGGCCCCCGCTCAGCGTCTCCTTGTCGCTGCAGCGCGCGGGGCGGATCCGCCATATTGGAGCCGGAGCCGCAGGTTCCGTGCAGCGGCGGTGGCGGCGGCGGCGCGAGGCGGGCCTGGCAGCGCGGCCCGCGCGGCGGGGGTGCGCATGAGCCGCCGCGGCTAAGCCTCTTCCCCGCCCACCGCCTGCGCTCGGCCGGGGAGACCCGGCCGGGAGGGGCCGCGGCGGCCGCAGGATGTTCTCTAAGAAGCCGCACGGGGACGTGAAGAAGTCCACCCAGAAGGTGCTGGACACCAAGAAGGACGCGCTGACCCGCCTCAAGCACCTGCGCATCGTCATCGGTGAGGAGAAGAGCGACCGGGGCGCGGGGGGTGAAGGATGGGTGGGGGGAGTGGCGACGCCTCGGCCTCGCTGCCCGGCCCGTCACCCCGCGAGCGAGCGAGCGAACTCCGGGTTCGCCCTCGCGACCTGGCGCGGTCGGGAATGAGGGCCGGCCGGCGGCGCCTGTGCCCACGCGCGGGAGGGCGGGCGGGCGGCGAGGGAAGGGGCAGCTTGGCAGTTGGCACAAACCAAGCAGCACCAACACAGAGAGACCCACATTCGAGTTCGTGGTCTGAATTCTTTTTCTAAAGAAACAAAAAACAAAACAAAACAAAACAAAAAAAAAAAGGAGCGTCAGGCTAGAAACTTAAGTCCTTGGTGAGACTTCAGGGACACTTGGTGTTGTGGGTAATGGTGTTTAGAGGGTGTGTTTGCTAGATGACTACTGCCCTCCCCACCCAAGTGGAAAGAAAGGAAAGCAAACTGCTCGCTCGGGCAGTGGAACCCGTAGTCTTTCAAGTTTTTTTGGCAGGTGAGGGCCTGGAGGAAGCAGTTACACCTCTTTGGGAAGTGGGTGGTTCCTGAAGCTTGTGGGAAAGGAACCCGCCCTACCCTCAATACACCCTGTTCTTCATTTGCTGTCCTTTAGAAGGAAAAACTAAATATAGAGAACAAGATTCGCCAGAACTGTCAGTTTTCATTAAAAATTTTCTTGCTGTCAGCCGTCTTCAACTTCAGTTTTTCCAAAGATCGAACCGAGATGAGCTTGGGATAGAATGTTAAATGAGGGTTTTGGATACTTGGTCATAGATAACGTTGGTAAGGACTGAATTAATGTACTTACGGAACTTTTGGTTCTGTACTTGATGAAGAAATTAGAGATGAAAAGTTAAGTTGGCCAGAGTTCATGTATAGATTAATAGCATCACTGAGGTTAGAGCCCAGATGCTTGGATTCTAAATCAAAGTTTATCGTCTTAAGCCTCCTTCCCAATGACTGCCAGTTTAGTGGTGTATCTGTTTCAGGGATATATTTCCTTAGTGTGTTGACCAACGCCACTGATAACACCCAACATCTGTGTGGTGCTTAACCATCAGTAAAGGGTTTCACATGAATTATTACAGATCTTTGCAATCTGTCTAGAAACAGAGATCTTATTGCCTTTTTTTTTCTGTACAAATGAGAAAGTGTAAGGTAAGCCATGTTTCTACTGAGCTGACGAAGTCCAAATGAAGTCCAGATTTTGTGTGTCTGATTTGTTTTTCATCCTCCCTATGTGTATGACTATGTATCTTTAGCCCAAGTTCTTATTCCTCTGGTATAATGAGAAAGGAATTAAATCCAGTTTATGTAAACCATTTAAACATGGTAGAGGTTTTTAAACATTTTATTTTCATTCTGGAGTTGTCATTGGAGCAAGATTTGGCTGAAAAGATAGGACCGAGACATACAAAGTCATCGTGAATTACAAAATAATGACGGTTTGAAACTGGACACTGGAGTGGAACGCGATACTCACTGCATGAATGCAGAACTAAAGAGCTGAGTTACAACAGGGGATTGGGATTTCTTAAATTAACCGCCTTGGTTGATTAAGGATTGGTTTCTTTATATTCCTTTGACATGTGGTTTCTGTGGTTCTCTGTGTCACACTGTGTGTGTGTGTCCTAACTTGGATAACATGACATGTATTACAGCTTTACACGTTGGACATTTTGTAGAACTAGCTTCTTCAGTTTAAGAATAGAATATTTAAAAAGAAAATAAACTTTTTTTTTGCTTTATTTAAGGGCTCTTTTTAAAAAATAATCACTGGGGAAGACACCGTTCAGGATGTTCAGATGTTGGACATTCTTACAGACCTGTGCCTTGAGAGTAGACCACACTAATGTAGTTGTAGAACCATGGTGCTTAACCAGACACAGTTTGCCAATAGAGACAGTGACCACATCTGGAAATACTTTTTCTGCGAGTTGTTCCTAAATATATATAGTATGCTAGACACTGCTGAATGGACAGAAAAATCTGTCACAATATTCAAGTCCAAAGTGTCAGAATACTAGGTTCTGAGACCTTGTCATAATGCGTACTAAAAGATGGACCCCCAAATCTAAGCTTGGTTTTAAGTTCTCTCCTGCTGCAGGGCTAGGAATTGAACCTGGGGCTCAAGCTTGCTAGCAGGTATTCTGCTGCTGAGCAATATTCCAGCTTCAGAATTTAAATTTAGTCAAATATTCTGTATTTTAAATGGTTACAGTTATTTTATTTGAAATAAGATTAATATGATTTCTAAGAATATGAATGAGAGAAATAAAGTTGAACCTTTAGAGGCCTGCCAATTGATATCCTCTTTTGTAGTTGGAAGAGCCAAAAATCCTTTTTGAAAATAAGTAGGAGTTTAAGTAAATACAATGAGAAAACTAGTAAGTTGGTTACTTACTTGGCTAATTACACAGAACCATATTTGACCCAACGAAAGTGCTGTTCATTGCAGGTATTTATAGAGAATTAGTTATGTACATCCAGCTATTAGAATAGCAATTCCGCTTAGGAACGGTGTTTCCAGACATGACCTGTCTCCTGTGGGCACCACTGTTGTACAGCTGCTTTAGTGTGGTCTTTCGTCTAGATCCCTCCTCACAGGGCAGAGGTCTGGAAGAGTGCTCAACATTTGAGTCCTTGGAGATGTCTTCTTTAGTGCTTTTCATTAAAAAACAGTGATTTTTTCATATGTTTTGGATGTTCTGCCTTCATGTATGTCTACGCAATATATGTGTGCTTTGTGCCCAAGGAAGCCAGAAGGGAGTGTTGGATACTCTGGGAGAGGAGTTAGAGACAGTTGTGAGCTGCCATGTGGGTGCTGGGACTTGGACCTCTAGGTCCTCTGGAAGAGCAGCCAGTGTTTCTTAACCACTGGGTCCCTTCTTAAGCCCACTTTCTTTCTTTTTTTAAATTCCTTTCATTATTAAAAAGCAACAAGACTCCTTTCCTTTAAAAATTATTATATAAAAACATAAAATTTAAATATCCAGTGTTAGTCTTCCACTGTACTGAAAATTCTAGTTAAATTTATAGATTTTAGCTAGGTGTGGTACTGCACTTCCAATGCTGAGGCAGGAGGATTACAAGTTAAGACACTCTGGACTACACTATTATAGGGAGTACCAGGGCAACATAGTGAGACTCTGTCTTAAAATAAACAGAACACAAATTCCTCTGATGGCTTTGGCTTATTGCTGATGTCATGTTTGGTCTGTAGGCACTGGAAGGGTTAAGCAGAGAGAGAGAAGAGGCCTTGTCTGGTTTCTAGAGTTTGGGGATGGGATTTTCCCTCCCACTTGTGTTTCACAGCTAGTAGCTCTCGGTGCTGATAGGAAGGCTAGCATATGTGAAGTGACTAATATGGAAATGTTGGTTTGCTTCTGCTTAAAGTGGCAAGTTAGAAGTTCAGTCATCTGGACGAAAAATATAAGTGCTTATTTAGCTAAGAATAGATTATTACAATGGTTCTCAATCTGTGGTTACAACCCTTTCACAGGGGTCACATATCATATCCTGCATATCAGATATTTACATTACATTTCATAACAGTAGCAAAATTACAGTTATGAAGTAGCAGTGAAAATAATCTTATGGTTGGGGTCACCACAACATTAGTAACTATTAAAAAGCCTCAGCATTAGAAAGGTTGAGAATCCTGGATTATTGCTGGGTCGTTTAAACAGCTATATTAAGGTACAGTTGTCATCCAGTAAATTACACATATTTAAAGTTTGTACAGTAATTTTGACATGGATCATGCAATCAACATTAGACATATCCAAACAAGATAAAGATAGCTAGGCACTGGGTTTGTAGCTCAGTAATAAAGCATGCACTGTATAAGGCCCTGGGGTTATCTTCTCCACAACACAAGAAACAGAAAAAAGAGGTGAGTGGAAGAGTGCTTGTCTAGCATGCTTGAAGTCCTGGGTTCAACCTCTACTACTGCCATCAAAGCCAAGCACCAAAAGCCGATAGTCAGATACATAAGATATTATGTCCTTAACCTCCCAAAGTTTCTCCATACTTCCCTTCCTCTCCTTCCTCCTCAGCTTATGCCTTCCTATCCGTCTCTGGACAAGTCCCAATCTGTTCTCTGCATTTACATTTTGTAGAGTTTTATATGAAGGGGATTATATAGCGGATAACTGAAACTTTATAGTGTTTTACATTTTCTTTTACTCAGCCTCATTATTTTGAAATCCACCTTTGTTGTACTCGGGTGTGTCAGTGGTTTGTGTTTTATTCTTGAGTTGTAGTCTACTAGACCACAACTTTCCTGCTTATCTGTTGATTAACATGTGGGTTGTTTGGGGGCTATTACAAGTGACGCTGCTGCAAAGTGTACTTGATAGACAGACTTTTCATTTCAAATGGAGAGATACCTAGGAATGGAGTGGCTGGATCAAGTGGCAGTGGTATATTTAATACGTGAGGACCGTGCCAGCTGGGCGGAGGTAGTGCGTGACTGTGCAGGAGGCAGAAGCGGACAGATCTCTGAGGTTTCAGGGCTACAAGAGAAACCTTGCCTAGAAAACCCCCAAACAAAAAACAATGTGAAAACTTGGAAAGCCAGCTGCAGTAGCTGATGCCTGTAATCTCAGCACTTGGCTGAGACAGCTTCAAGTTTGAAGCTAGTAGAAGCTGCATAATCAGTTGTAGTCTAGCCTGGGTTACAGAATGAGAGAGACCTTGTCTCAACAAAACAGCAACAAAAGAAACTGCCAATCTCTTTTTCACTGTTTAACATTTCAATAGCAGGTTGAGGGTACGAGTTCCTCCATGTACATTAGCACAGCTCTCTGTGGCCAGTTCTCTTCATTCCAGCCTCTGTAATATGTGTACTGGTCATGTCTGATTGCATGAGACTACTATTGTGTAGCTTTTCCGGTAAAGTTTCTCAAAAATCTCTTAAAGTGTGTGTATGTTTATGTGTATGTACATGAGTATGTGTAGGATTGGAGGTTGAGGTTATGAA